AAATACAGAAAAAGAAGCGTAAGTCATTTATATGGTACATAAATATTTTAGTGATGGTTTAACTGATATATACGTATTAAATTTTTAGAAACGTGCTGCTCCACCAGGGAGATGTCATTCATGCAACATCTCCGAAACTCCTGAATGGCGTCGTGGCCCCGATGGTGCTAGAACGTTGTGCAACGCGTGTGGACTTCGTGAGTTTCTCTCCACACTTAAATATTGTATTATCACGTGATACTGACTACTAACTACTCTAAATTATAAAGACTTTGCTAAAATTACAAGGAAGCGCGCATTGTCTGCTATGCAACAACAATTACAACAACCATCATCTACATCAGAAACCACCGTATCCGATATAAATCACAACTTACAAAATGATACTAATGGTCTTCATGACTTGGCTTCAATGCCAACACCCAGCGCTTCGGATGTCGAAAGAGATTCTCCTCCACTCAAGCAACCACGAACTGAGTCGAGTGACGACAACCAATTAAATTAACCATTCGTTAAAAGTGTAATGATAAAAATGAGTAATTCAATGACGAAATTAATTTTCGGACATTTTACAAACACTCGATAAAATTGTTTAATAGTGCATATATATACACATTATACAACCGTTATTATTACATATAATTCATAGAACTTATTTGTTAAATACGTCAAATAGATTAGATAAACTCGTTTTATACATACTTTTTTTTTCTTGGTGAAGGCTTTTACCAGATTGTAAATTTTAAAAATATTCTTTATATATATATATATATATATATACATATATATACATTATTCGGCAAAATTACCGTTATTCAAAAATTTGCCAAATAATGTGTTATCCGACAATTTATGATCATGATTAATCGTAACACATGAAAAAAATAACAGACAGAAATAAATTCATGATCATAAGAGTTTGTCGGATAAATATAAATATATAGAAAGTGAACTTTTTACACAAAACACTTTTTTTCCTGTCATTTGTATTTTAATTAATATATATTTCCTCTTTAAGTTTCGATTTCTTTATCGCACAAGCTACTTCGTTGGCACAGGCTTTTCGTTGGCACAAGCACTTCGTTAACACAAATAAGTAAATATCTTCCAAGCGATCTTATTTTATGACTCCCTCTTTCCTTTTTAAACATCTATGTGATTATTTCATTCTTAAACGGGTGATACTTGGTTTATTGTCATTTTTCAATGCGGTTGATGTATTCGAACGTTGTTCTTTTTTGGTTCGAATTGGTTTTTTTTT